GGGCCTTTCTCAAGACCGGGAACTCTGCGCCTAGCGGGGGGCGTGGGGTGGGAGTCATCTGGAGGTGGACGGAGGATTTCGGCGCGCATACAATTCGATTTCAAAACAGGCATCGCCTGCAATCATCGCTTGCGACCCGCTGCTGGACGAACCACTCGAAGGCAAGATATCCCAACCCATTTTCTTCACCATGTCCTTGAACTTGTTGGCAGTATCTTCGTCAATCTCGCACTCATCCTCGAACTTGGACTTGTGCCCGCTCGCCATCTTCTTGCCGACCTCTGTGAACACAATAGTCACGCAGTGAGTGAATTGCCAAATGAGGTAACCAAGTGATCAATCAAGACATAACGTCAAAGGCAAACAACAACATACAATAATTGCGATTTGAATGAAATCGCAGTTCGAGGGGTGATCCCAAACGACCTTCGATTCTTTGAAAGAAATCATCCTCGAGCCCTCTTCGTCGATGTACTCGACGGCCTCTTTGTTGTCCAGGGCCTCCTGCAGCTTCGTGGCGCCGCCCATCTTGGGGAATTCGCATGCGTTTCATCATCCTCGTGCTCCTGTTCTCCCTCGGCCCTTCCTCCCTCCTCCCCCCCTTCCCCCTCCCGCGCCCAGGTTCACACAGACCGCGCCGCCATGGCTTCGGCACGGATGCGGCCGATTCCTCTCTTGCGCTGGTCGTTGTACGTCGTCTGCTCGAACTCGTGAATCTGCAGGTCGGGCCGCCCCACGTGAACATGCCTTCCTCCCCTGCAATTCCCCCTCCTGATATGAAACTCGGCCTCGACCTTGAATGAAGGCCGAGTTTGAATGAAACTCGGCCGAGGCCGAGTTTGAGTAATAACAATAATATATATATATATTATATATATATATATATATTATATATATATATATAAATAATATTATATTTACTGTTAACATTAGCACTGATATTTTCACGCTGCTTATCGTGATGTTAACATTAGCACTGATATTTTCACGCTGCTTATCGTGATGTGGGTAAGATATACTATATCTACTCCACCGCATGACCGAGGAAGGATGTCTTTCCAAACATGGCAGTGGCCTCCCTCCTCCTACTTTTTTTGTCCGTGCTGTGGGCTCGTCCTGTTTCCACAAGCACTTCGCGTCGGGATTTGCCATGAGCTGGCCCTTCTCGTTGCGCGTGACCACCGCGTTGCAGACCTTGCGCGGCACCAGGCGCGTGGCCCCGCTGATGTGCCCCCCCACCCTACCCCAGTCCCGCCCCCTCCCACCCTACCCCAGACCTCCGTGAGCTTCGCTCGGTTGCCCACGCCAGGCATCTGCAGACTCTTCAAGTAGTCCTTTGCTTCTGGTGGGAAGCTCTCCATCACTTGCAAAAGCTTGCGCATTTTCACCCTGTCCCGGTGTAGGCTGGCAGATGATTTTTATAAATCTACTGCTTCCTCATCCCCCCCCCCCCCCCTCTCCCATCCACTCCTCCCGTTCCCTGCCCCCGCCCTCTCCTCCCCCAGGGTTAAAAGGCAGGACCTATGAATCATAGGCTTCGCCTTAACAAGCAAACAAAACAGCAACCTGTCGTCCGTCGTCGGCTCCACCTGACTCTCCGCTGCAGGCCGCTTCAGCGGGCTTGTCGCAGCCGCTGGCTTTTTGCTCACTGCAGGGGGAGCAGCTGCAGGCCGCTTCATCTTGGACTTCGCCCTCGGCGTGTGGACGGTTTCCTCGTCGTCCTCCTCTTTCTCCTCCTCCTCCTCTTGTTCTTCCTCCTCTTCCTCCTCGCCTGGGTCCTGTCCTGAGGTGTCTTCTGCGCCCGCAGGGCGCTTCAGGGCAGCAGCTGGCTTTTTTTTGCTTCAAGGAGGCCTCATCCTCTGAATCTGCGGCATCAACACCCTTTGGCTCCTCTTCCTCCTCTTCCTCTTCTCCTGGCTCGATCTTGGGACGCGTGGTGTCGTGCGCGAAGCCAACCGGACCAGCCAACCCCTTCTCTTTCGCGTCGGTCTTCGCCATCGCTGCTGCGGACAGGGGAGAGGATGAGAACTCGTCTAGGCGTCGCTGGCGGCACTATGTGCTTGAGGCAAACCGCTTCGGGCACGCTGTGCCGCCGTGGAGTAGGACCGCTCACTCCTGGGTAACATAGTAGGACATCACGTTGTGCTCTATGTGTCGTAATATACTAAACTTTTATATGGTATATCCATATCATCATCTGATCTGCGCTTAAATTATTAGTAATTACATGATACATAAATATTAACTTCTTTACCATCTTTAAAAATAAATAAATAAAAAGATACTTAATGCATGATATACTTTCGATGTTTTTTAACAGTTGCATCATCACTACATCTTATGAGTGGTGGACTTTTAGTGCACTTTTGGCGCAGTTGCACAAACAGTGCACCACATGAGTGGTGCACTTTTTGTGTATTTTTGGTGCACTTTCACAAAAAGTGCACCACAGCAGTGGTGCACTTTTTGTGCACTTTTGGTGCACTTTCACAAAAAGTGCACCACTGATGTGGTGCACTTTTTGTGCACTTTTACAAAAAGTGCACCACGTGAGTGGTGCACTTTTTGTGCACTTTTTGTGCGCTTTTTAAACAAAGTGCACCATGCAATGTTTGGAAGATTTTCATATTAAAAATAAGGGACGTAAATGAATTTATATGTATCGAGAGATTCCTGGTATGCTAGCCAAGACACACGCGGCGGTGCACTTTTTAAAAAAAAAGCGCACAAAAAGTGCACAAAACGTGCACCACTCACGTGGTGCACTTTTTGTAAAAGTGCACAACAAGTGCACCACTGATGTGGTGCACTTTTTGTGAAAGTGCACCAAAAGTGCACAAGAAGTGGACCGCTGATGTGGTGTATTTTTGTGAAAGTGCACCAAAAGTACGCAACAAGTGCACCACTCATGTGGTGCACTTTTTGTGCAACTGCACCAAAAGTGCACAAAAAGTGTACCTGTCATGTGGTGCATGTGTTGTGCAAGTGCATTAAAACATATGAAAACTTCATAAATTAGTTACACATGTTCATAACGAAGTAGCAGGAGACGCTACATGCACCCGATAATCTCCAACATGCAAGAGAAACTCTGGAACCTTAATGGTGTCCCGATGCCCTTGTATATGCAAGAACATCTGTGAAAACTTAATTTGGTCCCGATGGGTTGTTATATGGAAGAACAACTCTGAAACCGTAGTGAGATCCTGATTCCCTCCTACATGCACGAAACATTCTGATATCTTAGTGGGGTTCCGAGCCTCTTTACATGAAAGAGAAGCTCTGAAACCATAATGGGGTCCAGAAGCCCTTCTGCATGCCCGTCTGCATGGAAGACACATTAAGGTCCCGATGCGCTTGCATGTACAAGGGCATTAGGACCTGAATGAGTTCCCAATGCTCTTCTACATGCAAGTGCATCTCTGATACCTTCATGGGGTCGCGATGCCCTTTTGTTCCTCCTACTGCATATCACCCCGCTCGTCCTTGTGATCGTCCTACAGCTCGTGCTGCTCCTCCAATTGACCTCCCTACTGCTCCCCCTAGTGCTCTTCTTACTGCTCGTTTTTCTGTTCCTCCTACAGTGCTTCCCCTACTGTTCATACTGCTCCTCCTACTGCCTCCCCCTCCCCCCCGTACTGCTCATCCTATTGTTCCTCCTACCGTTCCTGCCACTGCTCTCCTACTGCCCCCCCTACTTTTTCTCCTACTGATCATCCCAATGTTCCTCCTATTCTTCTTCTTACTGCTCCTCCTACTGCTCCTCCTACTGCTCCGAAGGAAGAAATGAGCATCACCATGCATAATGGTGTTTATCTCACCTCCACCATTCCTCCCTCCCTCTCTCCGACACCCCGCCCGATCTCAATGTTTCCAAAGAGACCTTATGCGGCGGAACGCCGCTCCACGGAGGCCCTCACTCGTCCTTGGGCGTCTCCGTGCCGCTGAACCCGCTGGAGAAACCAGCGGCGCGCAAATTCGCGATGGCGGCCTCCAGGCTGCCCTCGTGCACCTCGTGGCCGTCCTCCTGCGTGGCCTCGTCTTCGTCGTCGTCGGCGTCTTCGCGTTCGTCGGTTCCGTATCGGTCCTTTTCTCCGTCGTCGTCGTCGACGTCGTCGTCGCACAGACGAAGCGCCCAATAAATCATTGGGCGCTCCGTCGATCCCTGGATGATCGAGCCTCCGCCTGCGTCGCAGCTGGCCCGCTGCTCGAGGATGCCCGGCCGCCTGCTGGGGAGGGCCGTTGTCCCGCCGTTCAATTATTGTATTTGTTGGTGTTGTTGTGTTGTTGTTGTTGTTGTTGTGTTGGTCGTGCGTGTGTGCACCGCTATCTGTTGATGAACCCTGCGCCTGTCACTGCCTCGATGGCGCGCTGCCTGAAGCTCATCTCCGCGACGACGCTCGCGGCGAGGGTGTCCAGGAGCGGGTCCTCCTTCTCCTTCGCCTCCGCCTCCTTCTTGTCCTCCTCCTTCACGTCCTCCTCCTGCGGTTCCATGCGAGGGATTTCCAATGAATCATTGGCAGCGACCCCATTGCGATCGAAAGTGCGAGGGATCCTAATAAATTATTAGTATCCCTCATAGCGTTTGCCCCCCTCCCCCTATCCTTGGGCGCGCTCAGAGAGGCCAGGCTCTTCCTGACCTCCGTCGCCGCCATCGTGAAGTCCAAGGCCTCACCCGCCTGCTGGTGGTACTCTTTCGAGACCACTCCGCCACCGTCCTTGACCCCCTCCAAGTACGAGACCATGGACCTCGAGAACGCCCTGTTGTCCTGCAGACTACAGGGCGGACTTCCAGAAAGAGAGACCCACAACTAGAGATAATGAGAGAGATATAGAAAGAGATGGAGGATAACTGACAGAATGAGAAATAGAGACATACGAACATCATGAACATCACGAATAAATGAAGGAAAGGAAACGCACCGCTTGAATGAAGTGGCGCGTGTCCGTTCCTTCAGGTACTCATGTGGGATATGTCCTGCTCCGCCTCCTCGAGCGCCTCGTCGCGGACCTCCTTGGCCAGCTCGGGCAGCCGCTTCTGGCGCCACTCGCGCAAGGCTGCCGCAGGTGCCTGGCGCAGGCGAAGGATGCCACCCCCCTAATTGGGGGGGTCGCACCCTTCCGTTGCGGCGCAGACGGTTTGGATGAAACCTTCTGCGGCGCCCCCCTGCCCCACTCCCCACGAGGCCTCCTCCGAGCGGCGTGGCGGGGCAGCCGCCGCCTTGGAGCGCGCGCCGCTCCCAGGAGGCGCCGCGGCCTGCTTCGGGCGCGCGCCGAGCCCCCGCGCCCACGCCGCCTGGGGCGCGGCCGCGGAGGATAGAGGGGGGAGGGGGGCGAGCATCCGCTTCCTCCATCACTGCCCTGCCCTCTTCCCTCCTGTCGGATGGGTGCACCGAACGACGACGCGTGCTTTGAATGAAAGCACGCGTCGTCTTTCGGCGCGCCTTTGGATGCAAGCGCGCGCGCTTTAAATGAAAGCGCGCGCGCATTGAAGAAGTGACGGCCTCGGCCGCGCGAGGGTCCGTCGCAGGCACCTCCACGCCGGCGGGCCAGCCAGGCGGCGCCGCGGGCGCCATGCTGAGGCCGCCTCGGGGGGGGAGGAATGCGTGGCGGGCCTGCTCCGTCGATCCCCCCCCTCCTCGTGCCTCGCTCATTCCTCCGATTCCTCCCTCCTCTCCCTCCCTCCTCGCTTCCTCCCTCCTCCTCCGTCTCATCCTTCCTCCTCCTCCGTCTCCTCCTCCCTCCCCCCCCCCTCCTCCCTCCCCCCTCCCCTCCTCTTTCCTCCACCTCCCTCCTCCTCGCTCCTCCTCTCCTCCCTCCTCCTCCCTCCTCCCTCCTCCTCCTCCTCCCCCCCTCCCTCCTCCCCCCCCCCCCTGTGCCCCCTCCCCGCCCCTAACCTCGTATCCCCTTTCTCCTTGCATGCCTCCCTCTCCCCCTCCCCCCCAGCATCGGCGCCCGCCGTGCATCCGCGCCGTGCAGCCGACGGCCTGCGGCGCGGGCGTTCTGCCCTCCGCGACGGCCTCGGCGCGCCTGTCCGGGCAGTGCGGCGCCGTCTGCCTGTCGTCGCATGGGGGGGGCGCGGGGAGAGGGGGGAGTGGCGCGAGCGAGAGGGGAGGCGAGGAAGGCGAAATCAACGGAAAACAATTTAATACATTGTTTTCCGCCGAGCGCCGCGCGGGGCTCCTGCACAGGATGGACCTCTCGCCCCCGAACCAGGTGGCCCCGCTGAAGAGGCGCATCGCCGCCTGCGCCTGCTGGAGCGCCCCGAACACGAAGACCATGCTCGAGAACGGCTCCCGCGCCCAGCCCCACCAGTCGACGACTCCTTCGAGCCTGGGCGACGGCAGGGCACCCCCCTCCCCACCCTCCTCCCTCATCCACTCCCTCCTTCCTCTGGGTTCCTCCCTCCTCCCTCCTGTTCCCTGCCCCCCCCCTCCTCTGCGTCCTCCCCCCCCCCCTCTCCCCCTCCCCCCCTCCGAGCTCTCCGTCCCTCACCGTCCACCGTCCTCCGCATTCTCATCCATGATTTTCCTTTTCTTCTACTTTTCCCTCCTCCCCCTCCTCCCTCCTCCCTCCTCCTCCCTCCTCCCTCCCCCCTCCTCCCTCCTCCTCCCTCCCTCCTCCTCCCTCCTCCCTCCTCCCTCTTCCCTCCTCCCGATTTTCAGTCAGGGTCGAGGCCGAGTTTGAATGAAACTCGGCCTCGGCCTTGAATGAAAACCGCTCCTCCGCCGAATCTGATTGTTTCACCCCGCTCAGTCCCGCGGCCCGCGGCGTCGCCCACGAAAGCGTGGAAGTCGAGCTCCGCGGGGAGGCTGCCCAGCCAGAGCGCTCGCGCCGTGACCAGCACGAAGCCGCTCTCGTCGCGAGCCTTCTTCTTCCCCATCGCGGCGGCCGCGTCGCAGCGGCAAAAAAGCTGGAGGACAAAGAAGGGCTGCTCGTGCACAGAGCACCCATCTGCCAAGACGAGCACATCTTTTAATGAAAGATGTGCTCTGCAGCCTCTCCCTCCTCCTCCTCCTCCTCCTCCCTCCTCCTCCTCCTCCTCCTCCCTCCTCCCTACTCCGTCCTCCTCCCTCCTCCTCCTTCCTCTTCCCTCCTCCCCCTCCCCTCCTCCTCCTCCTCCCTCCTCCTCTCCTCCTCCTCCCTCCTCCCTCCTCCTCCTCCTCTCCTCCCTCCCTCCTCCTCTCCTCCCTCCTCCTCCCTCCTCCCTCCTCCCTCCTGGTCCTCCTCCTCCTCCCGCCGCTGCTGCATATCTTTGTAATGCAAAGACATGCAGTTGTGTGTACGTGATAACTATAGTTGTGCGTGCGACGTGTGTACACAAGTGTGTTCACATAAAGGACTCGTAAATCAAAGCGTCATTGTAGTTTTGAGGTACTGCGCCGTATGTATAACCATTGTGTATTTTGACGTGTACTGCGAGTTTGTCATAAACATCTGTGGCAGCAGCAGCAAGGGCATCATCAGGCGCAGACCAGAGGTCGTTTCACGACGGCGCGATTTGAGACTCCCAACCACGACGGTCCAGAAGCCAGCCCCAGAAGGCCTCCGCTACACCTTGCAAAAGAAAGAAGTCTGGGCAGCACGCGCTGCCCCCCCACCCCCCCCCCCACCACCCACGCCCCTCAGCCCGGCGGGCGGCCCCGCGCCAATGGCGCGTGGCAACTGCGCAGCTCACTTGCGCCTCTAGAACTCGGCGTCCCACCACTCCCCGCTCAAACGGTGCATCTCCTGCGCCTTGGCCTGCGGGCGGGCCCGCCATGAAAAAAACGGCGTGGACGGGTAAGGTGAGAGGAGGAAGAAAGGAGGGTGGCCGGGGAGGAAGGATGTCGAAACGCATGGCCTTGCTCTGCTCCTCGGTCCAGCCAAGGCCTCTCGCCGCGCTTCTGGCGTTGTGGTAAGCCCTGCTCTGGAATTTCTTCTTGTCGTCAGACTCCCACACCAAGGGGCCCCAGGACAGCCCCCCTTCCCCCCGCAAGAACGTGTTCAGCATATCTTTCAGCGGGTTGCCGCCTGGAAAAATGCCTGTCATATTCTTGTAGAATATACAGGAATATGCAGCGGCATCGGTGATGACGATAACAGGAGGAGGAGGAGGAGGAGGAGGAGGAGGAGGAGGAGGAGGAGGAGGAGGAGGAGGAGGAGGAGGAGGAGCGGAGGAGCTGGAGCAGGAGGAGGAGGAGCAGGAGCAGGAGCAGGAGGAGGAGGACGAGGACGAGGAGGGGGAGGAAGAGAGGGAGGATGATGGGGGATGAGGAGGAGGAGGACGAGGAGAAATACGAGCATAGTAGTAGTATTACTAGTAGTAGCAATACTGCTGGAAGTAGTACTAATAGTAGTAGTAGTAGGGAGAGTGGTGCTAGTAATAGTAGCGGCAGTAATAATATTAGCAGTAGTAGTAGGAGTAGCAGTAGTAGTAGTAGTAGTAGTAGTAGTAGTAGTAGTAGTAGTAGTAGTAGTAGTAGTAGTAGTAGTAGTAGTAGGTAGTAGTAGTAGTAGTAGTAGTAGTAGTAGTAGTAGTAGTAGTAGTAGTAGTAGTAGTAGTAGTAGTAGTAGTAGTAGTAGTAGTAGTAGTAGTAAGTAGTAGTAGTAGTAGTCGTAGTAGTAGTAGTAGTAGTAGTAGTAAGTGTAGTAGTAATGTAGTAGTCGTAGTAGTAGTAGTAGTAGTAGTAGTAGTAGTAGTAGTAGTAGTAGTAGTAGTAGTAGTAGTAAGTAGTAGTAGTAGTAGTAGTAGTAGTAGTAGTAGTAGTAGTAGTAGTAGTAGTAGTAGTAGTAGTAGTAGTAGTAGTAGTAGTAGTAGTAGTAGTAGTAGTAGTAGTAGTAGTAGTAGTAGTAGTAGTAGTAGTAGTAGTAGTAGTAGTAGGCCACCGCAACGTTTCTTGCTCGGCGCCACTGTCTCCGCTGGCTTGTGCTTCTTGCCCTTGTTGTCCTTCTTGTCCTTCTTGTCCTCCTTGTTGTCCTCCTCCTTCTCCTTCTTGTCCTTCTTGTCCACCTTCTTCTGCTCCTTCGCCGCCGAGACCGCCGCGCGCACCTGACGCGAGAGCGCCCGGCCGCCAGCTGGGAGTGCAGGTTCGTCGTTCGCCTCCTGAAGGATCTCTGACACCTGCACCTGCGACTTGGGCTCCGGGGTGAAGAAGAGGCGCGGGAACTTGGGGGGGCTCTCCTCGAACACAACCTGGGGACCCCAAGATCGCATAATATGTATGCAATCAGAGGAGATACGTTATCCTATAAGCAACGCGTGATACATGCCCAAAAAACAACCTGGAGGCTTGCTCTCGGAGACGGGGCAAGCGAATCCGTCGAGAAGTTCGCGAACTCGGGCCACTCGAACACTTCTGCCTCGGCAGGGGCGTCCTCGAGTGGAAGCGTCGCGGCCTCGCCGCTGGCCTCGCCCGTCGGGGCGTCGAGGGTCGCGGCTGGAACTTCCCCCTCCACCTCCTTCCTGGGATTTTTCCACCAATGCAGGAACTGCTCCGGCTCGCGGTCACGCGTGTCCCATTTGCCCAAAACGTGCACTCCCTGCTTGGCGATCCCCGAGGCGGCCATGGCCACCAGCTGCTCGAGCGCGCGCGCGTCCTCGGCCGAACACTTCTCCAGCACGCGGCGCCTTCCAGCCAGATGGCTGGCAGTGCCGACGCACTCGCGCTCTCGAACGCACACGCACGCACAGGCACGCACACGCGCAACACACACACGCACGCGCGCGCGAACACACTCACGCACACCGACACACGCGCATTGTATCTATGTATATACATACATATGTCAAAACACTGTTGTATACATACTCACATCCACCTATATCAATGTATATATATATGCATATGTGTACATATGCCTCGCACGGGTGCACGAGGCCTCTGAGGCTGGTCCAGAACGAGCTCCCGGATCTTCGCGAGGTTCGCGCGCAGGGTCCCCCCTAGTTCGTCGGCCTGCGTGTCGTGGCTGCGGCCAGAGGGGTCGAACACAGACCTCTCGCGCCAGTTGCCCGTGACGCGCTCCGAAACCTGCGGAACATTCGTGGCCGTGCCCTCCCTTCCCCCGCCGCCCCCCCCCCCTTCCCCGCCGCCGCGCCACCCCGCCTCCCCTTTCACCCATCACACCTTCCAGACACCCCTGCATGGAGGGGGGTCTGGAGATAAAAAATTGCCCCTGGTCGGACATGCCTTGTCGTGGTAAGCCTTCAGGGCTTGGGCCGTCGCCAGTGGAGGCAGGCGGCACGAGGGCGCCAACTCCGCGAGGCTGGCCCACAAAGCCGACGCCTGCGTGAGCACCTCCGGCTGCGGCGGCCTACCCTGTGTTTTTTGTTCTGTGCCTCGTGTCTCTCGAGCGATCCCCCCCCCCCCCCCTCCCCTTCCGTATGATCATACGGAGGGGACAGGGCAGGGAACCGCTCGAAGAAACGCAATGTTCAGAACGAGTGTCCTTCGCCGTCGTCTGGGCCCCAGCGGGCAAGGCCTTCTTGAAGGTCACGGCAGCCTGCTGCGAGAACCACTTGTCCAAGACACCCGCGATGTCCGCCGAGCCCACAGCGGCGCACTGCGCGCGAGGCCCCTGCATTGCGCCCGCAAAGACCCAACGCCAACTTCAAGTGGGCGCCTCGAGCCAAAAAGGCTACGTAGGAGTGGGGAGGGGATTGGAGTGAAGAGCGGGTTGCACAGGCTTGCTCTTTCAATGAAAAAGCCCGCCACGCAACGTCCTCCCTCCCGCCCCCTCGTCACTCCCCCCTCCTCCTCCCTCCTCCTCCCCCTTCTTCTTCTTCTTCAACATCAATATAAGAATCATCAACAATCTCGTCATCATCATCGTCATCACATCCTTCCTCCTCCTCGCCCTCCTTCTTCTGATCATCATCATCATCATCATCATCATCATGATCATCATCATCATCATCATCATCATCATCATCATCCTCTTCCTCCTCCTCATCCTCCTCTTCCTCATCATCCTCCTCCTGATCGTCCTCCTCCTCCCTCCTCCTCCTCCTCCTCCTCCCTCCTTTTCCTCCTCCTCCTCAACCTCCTCCTCCTGGGGCACTTTTTTATCAGAAGACATAGTAGTGCACTTTTTAAGAACGTGCACCAAACGTCGTGGTGCACTTTTAGCAAAAGTGCACCAAAAGTGCACCGATGCTGTGGTTCACTTTTTGTAAAAGTGCACCAAAAGTGCACCAATGTATTGGTGCACTTTTTTAAAAAAGTGCACTACGTATGCGCAACATAACAATAAAAGTGCACAAAAAGTGCACCACCGTAGTGGTGCACTTTTTAAAAAGCGCACCAAAAGTGCACAAAAGTGCACCACCATAGTGGTGCATTTTTTTTTTTTTTTTTAAAAAAAGTGCACAAGAAGTGCACCAAAAGTGCACCAAAAGTGCACCAACACATAAGAAAAAAATGCACAAAAAGTGCACTTCGCAAGAAAAAAATAAGGAACAACATAGGAATGGATTTAGGCCTAAATTTAGGCTTAAATTTAGGCTTAAATTTAAGGAAAATTTAAACCTTAAAAATAAGTCGAAAGGAGAGTTAGAGTCTTCGTGGCGTCACGTGACTCACGCGCGCCGCGCCGCGGGCACCTGGCCTGAGATATTCTCAGCCTTCAGCTGCTTGCTGCGCCGCCCCTCCTCCGTCCCCGGCGCCCGGTGGTATCCGTGCAGGCTTCTTTGAGCCTGATGAGGCACCCTGGCGTCCCGGCGACTCGCACGTCGACCAGCCCGAGTTTGCATGCTCGCGTGTTCCTGGCCCTTGGTTTTCAGACACTGCCACAGCCTGGTCGTGTTTGCAGCTGCCGCTTGCAATGGTGGGACGCGCCCCTACGTGGATTGCTCAGGAGTGGTTTAGGATTCTTGTTCAGCCATCTGAGGTTCCCACTGTCTGCATGCGACACAGGTACGCTGGACTGGTTGCGCAGCCCCGCGCTTTGCCACGCTCGGTGGCACGGCTACCTCTGGCGCCTGGCGCGACAGGGTACAATTCGTTCGTCTTCCTGGTGGTCTCGCCTCTGGGAAGGTTGCACTTCGGCCACCTGGCACACCTGGCAGCTCCTGCAGCTCGCCTTCAGCCCCGGCGCAGCCCAGCATCCCTCGGCGGCAGCTCTGGCAGCCGTGAGTGCGTTCGCTGGATAATTCGGTTTCGCCCGTAGCCCGGGACGTCTTCTGACGCCGCCTGCGCCTTCGCTTGCGGCCGCGACCCCCCAAAAAATAACCCCACCAGCCCATCCAGAAACGATGGCCAGAGGGATTGCCTGGATCAGGGAAGTGGGCAGCACACAAAGGAAGGGTTCCCCAGTGGAGGCCTCTTGGAGCGTCTGAGGGGCTTTTTGGCGGTCCCGGACGCCTCTTAGAGCGTCTTGGGTGCCTCGGAGAGCTTCTTGGGGCCTCTTGGGGTCTCTTGGGAAACTCTTGGAGGCCTCTTGGGCGCCTGTTGGGGCCTTCTGGGGCCTCCTGGGCGCCTCTTGGGGCTTGAAGCGCTATTGGGAGCCTTGGGAGCGCTCTTTGGGCGATCGTGGGGAACATCGATCATTCAAGAGGGGGGCATTAATTAGCGCTGCCCCTCGGGAGCTCAAAAAGTCGCCTCTTCGGGCGTTTTTGGAGCGTTTTTGGGGCCGTCTTGGGGCTCTCTTGAGCCTCTCTTGGAGCCCTCGTGGGCCATCTCGGAGCCATCTTGAGGCCTTAGATGGCCATCGGAAGCGAAGAAGCGAAGAGGCGAGAAAGCCAAAAACATTGATGTTCCTAAGGTTTGGGAAGGATGTTGGCCTCTTCGGGGCCTCCTGAAGAAGCTCTCTGGCCACCTGGAGCCGTCTTGGAGCGGTCTTGGGGCCTTTTGGAGCATCGTGAGAGCCATCTCGAGGCATCTTGGGAGATCTTGAGCCATATTGGAGGTCATCTTGGGCTCCCCCAGGCGCTCTTGGAGTCATCTTAATCAGTGCTCCCCCCCCAGGAGGCCAAAATGTGGCCATAACCTAAGTAAAATCAATGATGTTGGCATTTTCGCCGAGGCCTCTTGGAGCGTCTTGGGTGCCTCTGGGGGCCCTCTTGGGGGTCTCTTGGGAGCCTCTTGGGTGCATCATGGGGGCCTCTTGAGGCCTCCTGGCCACCTCTTGGGGCACCCTTGAGAGCCTTGGGGACCATCTTTGGGCCATCTTGGATGAGATCGATCAGAGGAGGGGAGCGAGCTCCCTAATTAGCCCCCCCGGAGGCCTAAATGGTGCCAAAATCTTAGTATAACCAATGATTTGGGCTTCCTCGCCGAGGCCGTTGTGGACGCTCCAACTACCCGCGGAACCCCCCGTCCAGATCCAGGGGAGGGGGTATGGGGGAGGGATAGACCCCTCCCCGAAGGGGAAGAAGAGGGTTGGAAGAGGAAGCTCCCTAGACCACCTGCGCCCTAAAGGGCTGGTCGGGCTCAAAAGGAGAACCCAACACAGAAGTGAGGGGGCGACAGTTGGGCAGGTCGCAGCCACCCAAGGAACTGCGAGGTCTCGGGTGATCCCCAATTCCGCCGTGCCTCCCACGAGCCCACGAGAGTGGCGACGGTTGCACAGTTCGCAGCCATCCAGGAAGGTCTCGGGTACTCGACTGCTCCGCCGTGCCCCCCAGGAGCCCACGAAAGTGGCGACGGTTGCACAGTTCGCAGCCACCCAGGGAGCAGCGCAGGAGGAGGGGGGAGGAGAAGGCGGAGGTGTGCGATCGCAGTGCTGCATTCAAAAACAAGAACCCAACACAGGAGGGCTGGGAAGAAAAACCAAGGCGCTCGAAAATCGCAGCATTCGAATTTCAATCCCCAGACCCCCGACTCCGTGTTTTTCTCAAAACGTGGACCCCCCCGACATCCCGATCCCTTCCTTGGGACCGGCGTCCATCCTGAGCCGTCTTTATCACGGCCCCAAGACCCAGTAGGGGGTCTCCCAGAAGCCACAAATGCCAAACAAAAAGCAAACAAGCAAGCAAACAAATCAAACGCTCATAGTGTTTCCCCATTGCAGGAGAGGTCCTGGGTCCTCCTCCAGCGGCCCTTCGTGTGGTTGCTGCTCTTGGCACACGATGTTGACGATGATGTTCGTGATGACGACGACGACGACGACGAAGACGATGACGACGATTGTGAAGATGAGGAGGAGGATGGACATGAGGATGAGGATGATGATGAGGATAATGATTATGGTGTTGATCGGGGTGATGATGTTGATGATGTTGACGATGATGGTGATGGTGACGATGATGGTGATAGTGACGGTCATGGTGATGGTGATGGTAATGGTGTTGATCGTGATAGTGAGGATGAGGATGAGGATGAGGATGGTGAGGAGGAGCAGGAGGAGGAGGAGGACCCAGACACCCGACGTCGTATTGTTTGCATAGCCTCGACGTTTCGACCTATTCCCTTGGGCTGGCTTTTCATCCCGAACCGTTGCTTGAGGGTCCCTGGGCCTGGCGAGGGCCCGCAGAGGCCGAACACGGCCAAAAATCGTCCGTCGTGATTTGTCCACGATTCGAAGTTGTCTGAGGACGATGATTCGGTTGCTGGTGGTGAGGGTGATGAGGATGAGCCTGGCCGCCGTCCTCAAAGGCCCTCCCGTCCTGCGACGACCCCGCCAGTGGGGAGGAGGAGCCGCGCCAGCCCGCGGCACCCTCGGCCTCGTCGCCGCCGTCGCCGCCGCCGCCCCAGACATCCGAACGACTGATTATATGTTCAATCCCAGGCCCCCTCGCGTCGCGGAACGAACCCGACGGAATGTTTTACCCAATTAGGCCTGCCTAAGGGGTTCCTGTTCGTTGTTGAGCCGCCCGTGGGTGCGTTGCCTGTGCCAGACCGCGTTCCTCGGGGTTCCCTGGTCCTGTGTCTTTGCCGTTGCGTTCCTCGGGGTTCCCTGGTCCTGTTCCTTTCCTGTGGCGTTCCTGAGGGTTGCTTGGCTGTGTTTCTTCACAGAGGCGTTCCTCGGGATTCCATGGTCTTGCTTCCTTCGTGCATTCCTCAGATTGCCTGGTCTTGTTGCCAAGCAACTGCCAAGCAATGCCAATCAACGCAAAGCAACGGCAAGCAATTCCAAGCAACTCCGAGCAAATTCAAACAATAACAAGCAATGCCTAACAGCGCCCAGCAATGCAAAGCAACACCAAGCAAAGCCAAGCAACGGCAAGCAGCGCCAAGCAATGCCAAGCATAGCCAAGCAACGCCAAGCAATGCAAAGCAAAGCAAAGCAAAGCAGCACCGAGCAACGCCAAGCAACGCCAAGGAACGCCAAGCAAAACCAGCTATGCTCAACAACGCCAAGCAATGACAAGCAATGCCGCTCAGGAAGCGTTCCGTAATTGGGATCATTCCGGATGCACTTGCTATTTTCGGACCCTGGAGGTCCTCGCCAGGCCCCAGCACCGTCAAAACACGGCTCGAGAGGAAAAGCCAGTCCCAGGGAAGAGGTCCCAAATCTTTGGGGGTCCACGCCGTGAGAAAGCAACGGCGAGGGAAGTCTGGGTCCAGGTGCCATTTTGCTACCTCGGGACAATGGAAGAACGGTTCCGGGGCGAAGACAAATCCCCCAGGGAAGGTGGGCGAGATTGCAGGGGCCGCGGAATGGAAAGATCATATCGTCGGATGCCTCGGGTCGTTGCCGCCGCCGTCGCCGCTGCGCGGGAGGATCTTGGGAGCCGCGGCCCCTTGCACACGGTTCGGCGCCCAGTGCCCACGTCGATGGCATCGTCGCCGCCATCGCCGCCTTGCAGAGAGCCTTGGGAGGGTTCGAAGCCTCCGAGGCGCAGTTTGAATCCAAGTGTTCGTCACTCGCCACACCCAAGTGCAAGCGGCTGGCCGAGGAGGCCCTCAAGCGTGCCAAAGCCAAGGACAAGCAGCCGAGCGTCTAATCAAGCTCAAGAGCAAGAATATCGGACCATCGACGTCATGAACATCACCGATTGGGGTCCCAAATGCAGAAAGATCATTCGCGCTTCACTGCACCAGGCAGACGTCCGTGGGCTCATGGAGACGCACGAGGGCGAGCGCACCAGTGGCGCAGTGCTGGCCGAGTTCGACGCGGCCGCCTGGAAGGCGGTCATCTCGCTGTCCCGCGCGGATGGCCAAGTCAAGCGAGCAGGCGGAGTCATTTTGGGAGCGGGGCGCCACCTGCAGAGCGCATCCCTGGAACACCTCGCGCGCGACCGCAGCCAGAGAGGCCAACTTCGTCACCGCAGGCCCGAGCTACAGTTCGCTGCGGGACCCCCAAGCAGGCCGAGCTACAGTTCGCCAACACCGTCTGCCGAGCTACAGTTCGCAGGCCGAGCTACAGTTCGCGAAACAAAAAAACGCAGGCCCGAGCTAAACAAAAAAACTTCGACATAAGCGCGCGGCCGACCCGCGAGACTTGCTCGCATGGTGTTGTTTCGCAAGGTCGTGCCCCCCCTGAGCACGCGCGCGTGGGCGTTCGAGTAATTCCGACATGCGCGCGCGACAAGCCCGTTTGGTTGCATTTCGTGAACACCGTGAGGTTTTTCATATTCCGCAAGCGCGCAGACTTGTTGGACAGTCAGATTGCAAAACAAATGTGTTATATATGTCGGTCAGTCAATTTGCCTGTTTGTCTGTATGTATGTATGCCTGTATGTATGCATGCATGCATGCGTGTGTGCATGTGTGCATGTGGTATGTTTACGAGGCCTATGTACATACGTATGTCTGTACGTATGTATGTATGCACGAAGATCTGTATGTGTGTATGTATGTATGTATGTATGCATGCATGCATGTATGTATGTATGTATGTATGTATGTTTGTACACACAGGTGTATATTTATAAACGCGGGGGCAAACTACTTTGATACCCGCATGAAACCTACGACACCTGCGGTTTCGTGCGCGTTGTATTGATACACGAGCGCGCGTTCATTCTATTATCTGAGGAGGTAAACGAGGGGTGGGTCGGGGAGGTCGATACCGGCTTGGGTGGGATGGTATGAATTCATTTAACAATGAGCAGTGGGGCAGAGTCAGATGCAGCTTGCACATCCCCAGGGGCAGTGGATGAGTCGGGCCTCCGGAGGCCTGTGGGCCTTCATTCTATTTTACCGAGGAGAAGATCTGTGGTGCAATCCGTGCTAACATGCTGTGCAATCTATGTGGAGCAACCACCAGACAGGCCCAGACGACGGGCGGCGACGAGGCGGCGACGGGGCGGCGACGGCCAGACCGCCAGACAGGCCCAGACGACGAGCGGCGACGAGGCGGCGACGAGGCGGCGACAGCGAGCGCGGAACCGCCAGACCCACAATCAGCCCCAGACGATGGGCGGCGACGAGGCGTCGACGGGGCGGCGACGGCGAGCATGGAACCCCCAGACCGACATTCAGGGCCAGTTCTTTAGAAGAGAAGTGAGAGCCCCCTAAGTGCGAACAGCATCTCGGGAGTCTGTACATACAGGCAGCCAGAGACATGCTGAAATCAATGATGCTGACAGCTTGCGGGGCCGTTTTTCGAACCTGCTCGCTGGCAGGGCTCAAGCGCAGGCATCTCCATGACGCGGATTGGCACTTCAGGCTTGGGGCGGGGGGGACGAAGCGGAATGGCTGGGAGGTAGTGCTGAGGATATTTTCGATACCCCGGATTTCATGCGAGTTACCCCCTCGTTAGGAGACATATGCACATTACGTATCTGCATGCTTTTCACATCATCGTGGTGCCAGAAGAAGTAGACATACATACCATAACCATATGAATTCGAACATTGTGCAATCTTTGTCGTAGCAAGGGGGAGCACGGGAAGGACTCATCGAGGAAGGTTTGATGAGAACCGCTGACAGCACGCGACGGCCAATCTATGCATGTCCAGCCTTCGACAGCTCTGCCTCAAGACGCGAAACATGATGCACACATGCAGATGCCGAGGGTCGGAGCAGTACGCGCTGTAATCGCGTGGTGTTTCATCGCAAAGGGTGAGTGACCCCCGAACACCTGATTCTAAGACACCTCCGGTGCACATGCTCAGTTGACGCGCGGGCCGTCTTGGGGTTCCTTCGCTCCTCATCCCTCCTCCTCCTCCTCCTCCTCCTCCTCCTCCGTAGCCATTTTGGCTCAAGATCTTCATTTGGCCACGCCAACAAATGGATACCGCTAGTCCGCGGCCAGCTTCCAAGAGATTTTGCTTGATCCAATCACGAGCGTGCAGGCCGCTCACATTTCCATATTCCTTTGCGGTTGCTCTCGTGGCAGCGGCCTTCATATTCTTGAGTGACGTGTCTCTTGCTGAAGAGCGAGTTCCATGCCACCGAGCGAGTCTCAGCCAGCCAGTGCAAAACGAACGGAAGGAGCCGCTGCGCAGCCTCAGGATCCATGGTTCCGTTCCGCCCAGAAGACACAGTTGCAAGAACTTCTGCGCACCTTCGACACCAATTGGAGGAGACACTGTCCGCTCAGGTCAAGTCTGCTGCTGCTGAGTTCGAGAAGACAGCCAACGCAGTCGCGGAAAAAGCTAGAGAACAATTCATGGCCACCGTCACATCCATCACGGCCGACCTCCATGCCAAGAACGAGCGGACCGAGAGAGAGCTACAGAGTACAAAGTGTCGCGTTGGGAAAACAGAGACCGCTACCCGAGAGCTTCGTGAATCTGTGGCACAACTTCAGCGGATCGTTGGCGAGGCAGAAGCTCGCAATCCATGCTTGGACATCACGAACACGGCTTTCGACAGGCAAGCAGATCCATGTACTTTCTGGTGTGGTGCCGCCACCACGTTCAGCACGGAGGAGCTCAAAACTGCACTCGCCGCCTGGTTCCGTGATGCCAATGTCACGCTCGACCGACCAGATCTCCTTCAACAGCACGGGACTGGACAAGAAGCACAACTTCTCCGTCACGGGCGGCACTGTGGTGGCTGAACCCAGAGCACGGCGTCTTCACGAAACGCTCCGACAAGGACGAGATTGGCGCACCCTCGAGCTCGCCAGTGAGGGTGGCCCTGCTGTACAACTCTACGTCTCTGCTGATAAGAGCTCTCGGACAGTTCGAGGCGAAGTACAGCTCAAGCGCTTCGGCACCCTCGTCACCGAGCGCTTCGCGCAACTTCCTCTTCGGCTTCACCGCGGACAGGGATATATCACCGGCAACAGCGAGGTCTTGGCACAGATCCACGTCGGCAGTGCACCAGAGGAGCCCACCACAATCAGATGGACGACTGCCGCGGTCCGTGCCGGCATTAATGACGACCACCAGAAGAACATTCGCACGGCCTTCGAGAACAGCTTCTCTGATGCACTCACGGCGGCGCAGTGGCTTTAGCCCGCGCTGGGCGCCGTGGTTATGCAAGCAGACGGACCACGGCATGCAGATCGCCTTCTGGAATACTCAGGCTCTTCACGGATCCTCTGACCAACGGCGTGCTGCTAAACGATCTCTTCTGCTACCTCTCATGCGACAGCGAGCTTCGATTGCACTACAAGAGACACACGGCTCGAGTTTCGACATGGACATGCTGGCGCGCCCAGCCTCACACCAGCCTCTCAAACTCCAGCCTGCCGAACTGCACGGCCGCTGGCGGCATTGGCTTTCTCGTGCCATGCGACCAGGTCGAGCAGAGCCGCCCGCCCGACGAATGCCCTCAGCATTTTCTTGCTGAAGTCGTTCCTGGGAGAGCTGCTTCGCTCAGCATACGGGATTCGTCGCGTCAATATGAGACTGTAATCTTCAACATTCACAACTACGACCTGTCGCCGAGTGATCGAGCTGCTATCCGTGAACACTGGCAGCTACAACGGGACCACGCGGCAGCTGATCCACACAGGAGGACATTCATCATGCTCGGCGACTTCAATATCTCGGCGCACCCACCGAGGAGTTTATTGTCTCCGATCGACTCCACCGCGGTCGAGGCGAGCAGGTACCAGTACCAGCCACTCTTCTGGAAGAACCTCTTCAAGGACATGCCCGAGATAACTGCGATGGCCACCACGCACCGCGCGGTTGCCAACCACACGGAGAGCACCGTCGACCGTTGCTTCGTCTCCCTGGCTTCGCACGACATTCCCTTCATGGACATTGAACTCAAGGCTGATGATTCTCCACTCGAAAGCCCATCTGGCATGATAAGCGACCACAAGATTATGTACCTCCGCATTCGCCCTGCTCACAGCAAACCCGTGCAATATCAACTTGTTCTATCAACCTGTTCCTGCTTTTCTATTTGATTCCCCACATTACGCTCGTCACTATGCGAAATTACCAGCTCGACATGATATATCTCACTATGACCCAGTTCATCAATGGCGATTCCAGAAATCGCTGATGCACGAGGCCGCCCGCCTGACCAGGAACGCGCTCACGAAGATTCCCACGGCCGAACTCGACTCGCAGAACTCGGACATCAGCCAGGAGATCTGCGGCATGACCCTGGGGAGCATCGCCCGCGCCGTCTGGAACCAGAGCAAAGACTTTGCCTCCGCGCTCTTTGATAACACCGAGATCGGCCGCAAATGCCTCCAGATTGACGGTGACAGCGTCAAGCTCAACCAACCGATCGACTACACCAACGAGACCCTCGACACTCATTCCTCACTTGCTGAAGAACGGCGTTCCCGCGCTGCTGCCAAGGCCCGAGATGAATACGCGAAACAGAAAGTACTGCTTGGAGACCAGTGGCGACATCGTGCCCGTCAGCATGCTCGTAAAGGTGAACTATGGCGGCCCTTCTCTAGGCGCCTCATCCTAGCTGGCATCAAAATCGCGACGGGGGGCGCGGTTTACGAGCCGAGCCAGATGCACGCGGCCATCATGAGCCACTGGGGCCCGATCTTTGCCGCCCGCACGACCTCGGACCAAGATGTTCAAGAGTACCTCGACCGTGTCTTTCCTCAGCGTCCCGCACTAGAACACGCGGTGCCAAGTGAAGAAGAGCTGCGACAAGTTGCTAAGCAAGCTGGCGACTCCGCGCCTGGACCAGACGGGCTACCCTACCGTGCCTGGCTTCGATCTCCTGGAGCTCTTCCCATCTGGGCCAGCCTCGTCTCCCACGTGACAGACTACGGGGCGCCGCGCGACCTGAGCCACGCGCTGATGGTCATGCTGCCCAAGGGTGACGAGCCGCTGGGGAACTGTGAGTGCACGCGAACGCCGAGCACGTGACGGCCCCTCAGCATGACAAACACGGACGTGACACTCATTGCCTCAGCAGCCAACCTCACTCTCTCGCACCTAGCGAAGGACACCTCAGAGGAGCAGAAGGGATTGTTCGAGGCCGCCAATTCCTGCACAATGTCGTGCAAGTTGACATGCAAGCGAGGCTCTCCAGCACGGACCCCAATGCTGGCGCTCTCATGCCCATCTTCGCGCCCATGGACGTCGCGGCCGCCCTCCCCTCGCTGCTCAGACAATGGCTATGGGCAGTGCTAGCGCGGTGGGGCATCCAGGGGAACTTCGCCAAGATCTTGATGTGCTGCTACACGAACCCGCTGTGCTTCCTCACTATTGGTGGTGTTCGGCGTCCCCTTCTCAGTGCCGGGTCTGGAGTGGCTCAAGGATGCCCGCTCAGTGGAACCATATGGGCGCTGGTCGTCGACCCGTTCATCCGTGGCATATCGGCTGAACTCCTCCAATTTCGCCGTGGTCTTATCAGCGCCTGTGCTGATGATCTTGGTATCATACTACGCCGTCTGCGCGATCTTCGACGTCTTCTACCTCATCTACTCGCTGCAGAAACTCTCGTGGGATTACAGCTCCAACCAAAGAGGTGCGTCATCGTCCCCACATGGTCCCTGCCGACGCCCAGCCTGATCGTAGGCATCCAGAACATCCTCGAAAGCATCCACACCCCGTGGAGGAGCTTCACTATCGCCTCTTCTGCCAAGTACCTCGGCTTTCAGGTGGGACCTGGAGCATCGCTGCAGGATCAATGGAGGGCTCCAGCGACCAAGTGGTGGGAGCGTGTTCTCAAGCTGGCTGAGGGTGTCGCACCTTTGCAACTCAGTATCAAAACATACAATGAGGCTGCCGTTACATGTCTATCATATGTGGATCAAGTTTACGAACCTCCTGAGGCTCTTCTTGCCACAGAACAGCGTGCTCTTCACAAAATACTTCGGGTGGCTCCCAACAGCTTCTCCAAAAGCGACATCTTCGGCATGGCGGGTTGGACTCGAATCGGAGTACCTGCAGATATTGAACTCACGCTGGCGGCTACGATGTGGCGCACGGCGACGGATACACTGACTGGATGGACACAATGGTGTCACGAGCTGAAGGAGAATGCGATCGCCACGCTGGGGTTCGTTGCCGAGATCTCTGGCCAGTGGGGCGCTCCATGCTGGATCAACACGATCTCCATCGTGCAGCGCCTCTTCGACACCGCCACCTCGGAGTTCCACGTCAACACCGCTGGCTCGCACTTTAAGGGACTTGTGCGTGATCTTGGTGGTGAACAGCGGGCGCGCGCTGCACTCCGCGCAGCACATCTTCATGCTGCTCGTCTAGGTGCAGCAGCGATGCAGCCACCACGACGCCGTGCTGGAGATGATGGTGGCCCGCCGACACGCCCGCAGTCACCTCGGAAGGCGTACCTCCTCGGCCTGTGCCCCAAGCTCCACAATGACACGTTCCACAACACCATAGCTAAACGCCTGTCTGCTTGGAATCTCCTGCCGCGTCCAGTGCGCCATCAAGACCCTGCGCTCCCGCTGGCTCAAGCTACGAGAGCGAATCTTCAAGGCCGCGCGGCGCACTGGGCTGGCAGCTGGCCCCGATCTTCTCTTGATGGACCCCAACATTGACAACGAGAAGGAGTGGGGCGAGTGGTGCATCGAGTATGTCATGCGGGTGTTGAACCGCGACGTCTTTTTGCCCATCTGCTCCACCAGAGCGGAGCGCAGACGTTTGGCAACTGCTATATGTCGTGAAGCGTGGCATGCTTCTGAAGTCCCACGATCTCGTCTTGAAGCAGCTCTGCTCGACGCCCCCCAGGACCCTGCCGCTCAACTACGTGCACTTGCGCTTCGTCGGACGGCCACTGCTGAGCACCGTGCCAGGCGCCGCTGGGTCCGCAGCCAACGACTGCGTTTTCCTCTTGGAGGTGACCCAGAACTGCGTCCTGGAGACGATGATCACGATCCTGATGCTGAGGTTGATCTGGACCCACTGGCTGCTCATGACGTTCCTGACCTAGTCCAACTGGAGACTCTTCCTGAAGATCTTCAACAGCGCTGGCGCCGCCTTCGCACATACTTGGCGAAACAGCCTCCCGCGCGAGTCTGGGCCATCCTGAAGGCGCTGTCGGGAGCCTGGACTACTACGACACGCATGCATGTGCCCCCCCCCAGCGCCGCGACTGTGCATTCGGTTGCAGGTGCCCTGATGCTGTACAACACTACCTTGCATGTCCACGGCTTCTTCATCATGTTGCCCAGCCAAGAGGACAGCTGGCCACCGACATTCTCACGCGGCTCGGCCTCCCGACGCTCGAGACCCCCTTCGACGGCGAGAACGGGATCGCCTCCTCGGCTACGCGCTTGGGAGTCACGACGAGGCTCTACCACATCCTGAAGGACACCGCCAGCGTGAGGTGCGTCACGCCGACAGAAGGCTTCGCGGCCACCCGCGCGGACCAGCATGCTCTTCAGCTTCCTCACGAAGCTACTGGAGGTGCTGGCCGCCGCGGCTGCCTGACGCCCCTGAGCCGCCCCGCGTGCGGCCCGCTTGCCGCGCCCTGTGCCCCTGTCTGCCGCCGCTGGCAGCCCCGCCAGCAGCGTGCGTGCGGCCAGCCTGCTGCGCCCTGTGCCCTCGCAAGCTGCCGCAGGCAGATACGTTATAAATGTTCGTGTCCCGTGCTCGGGGCTTTCCGCCCCGCCCGCGAGCCGAGAGAGCGAGCTCCCATTACAGCGGGGAGCTCGCTAACCGAAGCGAACTGTTCGCCCTCCAGGCTTCGTTCACTCCTCCTCCTCCTCCTCCTCCTCCTCCTCCTCCTCTTCCCTCCTCCTCCCGCCTCCTCCTCCTCCTTCTCCGCCTCCTCTTCCTCCTCCGCCTCCTTCGCCTCCTCCTCCTCCTCCTCACTTTCAGTTGGCGCGCGGGCCGTCTCGGAGTTCCCTGGCTGCTGCGAGTCGCAGCTGCTGGAGACAGCCTGAGCCGCCACGGTACCGCACCAGGGCCTTCGGGCAAGCCCTGAGGGGGCTCGGGCGTCCCAGTCTGCAGCTCTTGAGCGCGGCTGTTGGTCACGGGGGGGCGGTGGCTGGCCGCACAGCTGCAGTGTGGCCGACGGGAGGTCGGAGAGCGAGCCCATGGCATCGCGCCCGCCCCAGCGTCCCGCGGGTGCGGTTCGCGCGTTGCCTGCGCCCTGCCTTCTTTCTCCGTCGCCCCCTCTCCTCTGGATGCTCCCGCCGCCACTGTGCTTCACGTTACTTGTGCATCCTCACATCCGCTCCCCTGCCCTTGCCCTGCTGCTGCTGTTGCCCATGGGCGCCAGGGCAAGTGCTTGCTCCTGGACGCTACCCAGTCGAGCTGAGGGAACAGTAAAGGGTGGAGTCGTCCTGGCGTGTGGGGCTGTGATTGGCGATTCGATGTGGGATCGTGTCCCAGTCGGCCCACTTGCGCCAATCGCCCGAGGAGCCGCTATTTGGGGCCCTTCTGGCTACAGTTCCATACCAGGGGGTACCATGGCCGCGGGTAACCACATCAGATGAGCGTGCGCCGTCGTCGTTCTTGAGCCTCACCGCATGAGGCGCGGCCTTGTGGGTCCCCTGTCGGTCAGTGTCGCTAAAGTTGAGGGCTAAGTCGCGGGCGGAGGCTGCGCTGGCCAGTTGGAAGGCCTCGGAGAGAGCGACTGCTGTGGCGGTGGTGGCCCAGCGGCGGCTGGCATCGGTGGTGCCAGCTCCTGCAGCCTGCGGCTCCCTGGGCCACTGGGGACCCCTCGGGCTTCCTCGCATGCCGGGGTCCGAAGCTGTCCGAGTTTTCATGTCGGGGGAGCGTAAGACCCGGGTTTGCCAGGACTCGGGTTCGCCATCGTTTTTTGACGACCGCGCCTCGGATTTTGACGAGGAGGAGTTTCGTGGGATGTCTGCAGCGGGAGGCCTCGTCAAAATGCAGGCTCGGCCTCGTCATTTTTTTGACGACCTCGTCGGGGATTTCCGAGTCCCCCGTACCCGGGTCTTACGTCTCCCCGATCATGGTTCCTCTCTGAGATCCTCCCGCGGTTGCTCCAGCGTGCTGCCCCGATGCCGGATGGGAAGTTGGCGCGGGGCCCGGGACATGTCGGGCCGCACCGGGGGCGCCTGCGGTCACCGCGCGAGCGCCGTGACGCTCGACGGTGGGCAGCCTGGGCCGCGGGAGGCACAGGTGCGGGTGTGGAACTTGGGAGCCCCTTGGGCATGCAGGGCACACGTAGGATGTGCATGTTCAAGCGCTGTTGTTGTCGAGACGCTTGCACATCATTCGGCGCTTCTCACCCTTTCACCGCCGTCCCTTGGTACGGACCTGTCCTGGCCACGGAGCCATTGAATCTTGCTTCATACAATTCCATGGCGTTCTGTCGGCCACGGGGTCGCCGAATTGCATCACGTCTGGTCTTGCGTACTTGTCCTGTGCTCCAAGACCGAGCCAGTCTCGCCACGTTTGTGATCTCCTTCTGGTCGCTGGCTGACGTGAGGGCTGGGACCATGGCGGCGTTCCAAGAGTCCAAACCCGTCGAATGCTCAGCACGACTCGAACCGCGACCCCTCCTCGGCCCCCCTATCGACAGGAAAACGAGGTGGATTCCTGGGGTGAGCAGTCGTCTCTTCCTCAAGGGAGGAAAACCATCTGGACCGGACGATTGGCGTGTACTAAACGGCCCTGGGCGTTTACGAAACAACCCTGCCCCAAACGACTGAACGACTTCGCGTGTCGGGGTGGTTGTTACAAGGGTGGATGTTTTGACCTCTGCTTCCCCTCCGCTCATCTTCATGGCTCCTCTCTTTGAGGCGCCCCGCGTCTCGCTGCAGGAGACTCCCCGCCATGCTCGACACGCCGCCCCCCTGCGCCGACGACCAGGCCTCCTGCTGCGAGATTGCCCCGAGAGGGAGAGATGCAAGGGCTCCCACGAGGGCGCGAAGTTATTCGCGCTTCGCGCTTCGCGGTCCTCGTTCCTTCTCCCCCCTCCTCCTCGTCCTCCTTTTCTCCCTTTGGGGGGGCGGCGCGAGGCGAAGTTGGGAGCCCCAGGAGATGCGGGGGAGGAGGGTGGACGAGGCGAGGAAAGCGCGGAGGAGGGATGCGATCTATCGGCGATGTAACGCCGATTCCAGTTCCAGGTCGATGCATCCCCCCCTATGCCAGTCCCCCCTTCTCGTTGCCCATCAGTAGAGGGGTGGGTGGGTGGGTGGGAGGGGGGACGAGGATGATGTTGAGGGTGGTGGGTGGGGGACGAGGAGGTGGGGCAGGGGGGGAGGGGGGTAGGTTGGGCAGGGAGGAGGGGGAGGAGGGGGAGGGGGATGGAGGGGGTTGGGTGGGTGTCAGGCGATCGCAAACATGGGATCAAGGGGGCGTGGATTAGCGACGGGTCCTGTTTCCTTGGGGAATCGCTGATTTCCGCCGCCGGGCGAGGCGGCAGCGGCCGCATGTTGGGGAGGGCACCTCCCCCGATCCATGGATTTGGCGACCGCGCATCAAATCCATGGATCGCTAATCCATGTTTGCGCGCCCCCGAGATGGGTATGGGACACCAGGGCTGAGCCTAAGCGTTGCTTTGATGGACTTCGGCTTTGTTTTGTTCCTCGTGCTGGCGTGGAGGCGCAGGACAGCAGGCAGGGCAAAAAACGAAAACCACGAGACGAAACCCAAAACGACAAACAACGTTCAGGTCCAGTCCTGGGGTCGACGAGGGGAGGACAGCGCGGAGGAGGGATGGGCACGGGACACCTGGCCGATCGCCGCTCACACCGATCGGCCCTTTGTCGCCCTCGACAGCCAAGACTTACTTCGGCTCGAGGAGGACGGGGAGGACGAGGGGGGCGAGGGGGACGAGGAGGAGGGGGAGGGGGGAGGAGGGGGGAGGAGGAGAAGAGGAGGAGGAGGAGGACCCTTTGTGCCCGTGACCCTCGCCGCCTTCCACGCACGCCCACGAGGTGCCGGGGGTGCCGGAGCTCCAGCCTGGTGCGCCGGCGAGGACTTTGGTGACAGGTCACCCGAACAGTCCACTCCCTCCTCCCTCCTCCCTCCTCCGTCCTCCCTCCTCCCTCCTGCCTCCTCCCTCTCCTCCCTCCTCCCTTCTCCCTCCTCCCTCCTCCTCCCTCCTCCTCCCCCGCCTCCTCCTCCCCCGCCTCCTCCTCCTCCTCCTCCTCCGCCTCCTCCTCCTCCTCCTCGTTGGCTGGGATCGCCCCCTCATGGCAACAGCAAGCGTCTCGCAGCAGTGCCTCTTGGTCTTGGCGCCGCCCGCGGGGGCGGCAGCGGCCGCGGCCAGGAGACGTCGGGTGCGGGGGGCCCGGGAGAGGCCACGGGGCGCGAACGGGGGCAGGGGGGGGCGCAAGGCAGGGAAGGGCCGCCCGCGAAAGGGCAGGACAGCCTCCTCCTCCTCCTCCTCCTCCTCCTCCTCCTCCTCTCCTCCTCCTCCTCCTCCTCCTCCTCCTCCTCCTCCTCCTCCCCCCAAGAGGCCCTCAAGACGGCTCGGGCCGCCTTGAGGGCCGGGGCTCGCTTGGGCCGTGCCGGATCTCTCCGGAGGCCGCCACTTGCCGTCTCCGGGGCTGTCTTGAGGCCATTGTAGGGCATTATCCGAGGCCCTCTTGTTCATCTTGAGCCCTTGAGCCGAGCCGACATGTTTGAAAACCCCACCGAATGGAGGAAAGCGTTATCCTAAGTTCGGGGCTGCTGTCATCACGCCTCCGCCTCACTTACATGGCCTGCTTTTTGCTTCAACCACTCAGGCTCAGACCCACGCATTTTTATACCACTCACAATCAAACCCACTCACACCCGGACTCACTCATGCACATCCTCGCTCACACGCGCTCAGACTCATTTACACTCATACTATTCGTGATCGTAGCCACTCACACTTCACACTCATGCTCACTCATGCACTGAGTGACGAGGATGATGTTGAGGGTGGCGGGGGGGGGGAGGGGGGGACGAGTGGGCGGGGGAGGGGGAGGGGGGTGGAGGGGGAGGGGAGGGGGAGGAGGGGGAGGGGGTTGGAGGGGGGGCGTGGGTGTCAGGCGATCGCGAACATGGGATCAGGGTGGCGTGGATTAGCGACGGGTCCCGTTTCCATGGGACGTCGCGGATCTCCGCCGCTGGGCGAGGCGGCACCAGCCGCATTTTGGGGAGGGCACCTCCCCCGATTCATGGATTTGGCGACCGCGCGCCAAATCCTTGGATCGCCAATCCATGTTTGCGCGCCCCCGAGGGTGGGGGGGGGACGAGGATGATGTTGAGGCTGCGGGAAGGGGGGACGAGAGGGTGGGGCAGGGAGCAGGGGAAAGAGGAGGAGGGGGAGGAGGAGGAGGATGAGGAGGAGGAGGAGGAGGAGAAGGAGGAGAAGGAGGAGGACCAGTGTAAACCTAAGACTCATCGACGACGTTGGAATACACCCTTCGCCCAAGCTCCCTCTTCATAGGCCCCCACAGGGGTCCCTTTCCGCTGTTGGGAGTGCCCCGTTGGGAGACAACCGTTTGAAGATCCCTAAGGGTGTCAAAACACAATTCATAGGACGTCAACGCCACGAATCAGTGTTACCGTTGCGTCTGGACGATCCTGAATCTTGCCAGAGTGCAGTTCCTGGGACTTCAACACTGTGGGTCAACGTAAGTGTTGCGCCTTGACAGTCCTCCATCGTGCCAGTACACCACTTCGTGGACGCCAGCCATAAGAGTCTTTGATACTGTTGAAAGCTCTGACGACGAATGTGCGCGGTGCTCAGGCGAGGACAATCTTTTGAAAGGAACCGCTTTCCATCCGTGAAGCTCTTTCCAGCCGGAGGAGGGGGAGGAGAAGGAGGGGGGGAGGAGGTGGAGGAGGAGGAGGAGCAGGACGAGGAGGAGGAGGAGGAGGAGGAGGATGAGGAGGAGAGGACTAGGAGGAGGAGGAGAGGTGAGGAGAACGAGGAGGGACGAGGAGGAGGACGAGAGGAGGAGGAGGAGAGGGGGAAGGGAGAGGAGGGAGGAGGAGGAGGGGAGGAGGAGAATGAGGAGGAGAGGAGGACGGAGGAGGAGGAGGAGGAGGAGGACGACGCCCTCCACCTGTGGAGCTCCTGCAGCAGTGTGAGGTGCGTGTGCGCGGTGCTTGGGCGAGAGCCGCGCTTTGACAACCGCCCGCCCTCCACCCCAGAGCCCCTCGAGTTATGCAAAAATCACGACGGGAGGTTTTTCATTACTTTTGGCCTTTGGGGGGCCTTTACCGGCCCTCGGGACCGTCAAAAAAGGACTCAGGACGAAAAACCGGTCCCGGGGAATGGGTCGAGACCTCGGGGGGTCGACGTCATGAACAAAATCATGACGTCGGGGGTCTGGGACCCGTGAAGCTCCTTCATTCTTAAAAGACGAATGTGCGCGGCGCTACGGCGAGGGCCACATTTTGAAACCGGCCCGCCCTCCACCTGCAGAGCTCTTGCACATTGTCAGCTTAAGGACCATACATGGTGGGGGACTTCTCAGGCGAAATCCCTGGCCCGCCACCACCGACACGCCTCGGGGTGCGACAGGGAGGAGTAATTTATAAGGAAAAGGTTGGAGGAGGAGGAGGAGGAGGAGGAGGAGGAGGAGGAGCAGGAGGAGGAGGAGGCGGAGGAGGAGGGGGAGGAGGGGGCGGGAAGGGGAGGGAGGAGGAGGAGGATGGGAGGAGAGGGGAGCGGAGGAGGAAGGAGGAGGAGAGGAGGGGAGGATGAGGAGGAGGAGGAGGATAGGGATGAGAGGAGGAGGAGGGAGAGGAGGAGGGAGGAGGAGGAGGAGGAGGAGGAGGAGAAGGAGGAGGGCGGGCGGAATGGCAAGGCCGATGAAGCCTGGGCCCTCCCGTGCGCCTCGCGCCCGTGGAGAGGGTGCAGGGCCCAGGGCGGGCCCACCGAGGTCGCCCGCGGCCCTGCGCCTCCCCCCCCCGCGCGCGGAGGCCGCGGGCGAGGAGGGAGGTCGTCCGCGGCGGGGAGGCCGGGGCCCGCCGCCTGCCCTCCGCATCTCGTCCCCCTGTGCCCTCCCCGCCGCCCTCTCCTC